AAATAGGACCAACATGCCTCGGAAACAAGGTGCGTGCAGTTGATGTTTTTATATGGTATAACTAATTTTAGATCAGGTAACACCGTCAGAAATGACTCCATGATGTTGTATTGATAATTCAAGACCGCTCAAAAGAGCAAAAACAAAAAAATGATAACATAAAGTTAGCTGGTCATTCAGATGTGTTATGCCTACATGTATGGTGTATAGACATATGGCATACATTTCCACACATGTGGATGAAGCATGTGCAACTATCCTTACACTAATCCTGAGTGAAAATGCATTCAATAAAGAATAAGGTAGTTCAAAAGCATACCATTTGTTGTATTCTGTTAGAGTGTTTTACTGAAAACTTACTGCGTCTAAAAGTAATTCGATTGTTGAGAAGGCTCGTCTTATGCTGCCGGGACCATTTTGTAGGCCCCCATACATTTTCTGTATGGTTATTTTTTTATTTTAAATGGGAGGATAAGTTAAGATGAAGGGGCAATAGGCACGACCGATGCCATACAAGGGTTGAAGTTAAAAGGGCCAAGTAAATACAGGAGGAAGACCGTAATGAGATGTAGTGAAGACAGAATTTTAGTGTGCAGGGGAAAGGAGGTGAGTGAATTGCATCATCAGATAAAGAATTGATAAGATTTTTCAAAATGAATATAAATTTGCTTCAAATTACTCTCAAATCCAAGATTTTCGAGCGATGATACGCAAACATCGAAGTAGATTTTAAGTGGTTCTCATCAATCTGAAGTGTTGAATATTTTATAATATTATTTATCTCAGCCAATACCCTCGCCAGAGCTTCTCGGATCATGTCCATTGTAAATCTATGAAGACATTCCGCCCAAGAGACCTGTTAATCACACCAATTCTTCGTTCCCCAAATGGTTTATTCATTAATTGACCGATTCTTTGTCGCTGACTTTCGCATTCAAGCCAATTTTTTGATAATATTTCGCTCTTCTTTTCTTAGCATGCAGATGGTTGCTAGTTGATACTTGCTCATAAATAAGGCTTTAAGTAAATGGCGCCCCCTTACGTCGCCGAATGCAGTGGATAGTGTGCACAATTGAAGTTTTGAAGCTCAAAAAGAAAAACCACACTTTTTCTTGATCGGTGATGCTTTATTAAGCTTTCTCATTGAAATACGTTGAGTATCCTGTCCATTTTTTTCCAGGACTCCACTCGAATCCTCAAAGTCAAAATGATGAAAGCAGGGTTATGAAGCCTTCGCTCATGGCATTATTTTGCAGGCGAACAATGCGGAAGTGAGTCTATTCGCAAACCTCTTCTGCCCATCTCGAGCCATGCAGTAATGATGAACAGAATGCGACAAAGCACATGCTACTCACTAAACTAATAATCTCTAATAATTATGTAAAAGGCTGAGGCTCTATCCTCAGCTCGTTGAATAACAGTTCGAAAGTCTACTAAGCCTTGAGGCATTAAGCACGAGTCTTCGGAACGACGTAAGTACTTGCAATTATCACTTATGCTCCGCCTTTCATTCTATGCGAAGTGTAGCCCAACTTGTTCTAAGAATTTGGTAATTTTTGGATTCTACTAAAGTGAAACTTTGATATGGAGCATAAGCCAAACTCTCTTGTAATCGTTTTAAGTCGTCTTTTCCTATTTTAGCCTATTGCTATCCATTAATGACGTAACGGTGCAAATGATGACCTTTTTGTTTATGGATGTAAATCAGGAACTAACAGGCAGAAAATCATACGCTTGGAAGAAGCCTCAGTTGTGTGTGTTCCTAGATCTACTACTTAAACTTTAGTATGTCCACCAGAATCCATTTCAGACTATCTTTGTATGATCTATGCTGTTCTCTTTAGTTATTAATGCCATTTTAAAATGTAGTAGAATTCAAACACTATTAGACTATGGCATATTTTTTGATGCGAAATAAAAGTGTCTAGGGCAAGGTTATCTTATGCGAAGAAAAGTTGAGTTTCGAGGAATCTCTTGTTTCATAATTGTTGAGCTTACTTCAATTTCG